GCAGGTGAAGGGTGAAGAAGAAGAAGATGGGAGAGAGAGTGAAAGAGAAAGGAAAGGGTCGGGTGGAGTAAAAGAGAGAGGGGAGGGTCGGATAGAGTGATAGGGTGGGATATGTTATTTTTTTAATTAAAAAAGGTATTAAATAAATATATAAAATACAAAAAAGAAAATAAAAGGGCATAATCGTCTTTTCAAGTTTTTTTGGACTAAAATCGCGGAAATGTTTTGATTTTAGACCTGCCATGCAAGTTAAAAACTTTTTGGACCCTATCCAAAAATTTTTGTAAACCACAAGGACTAAATTTGCAGTTTTGTCAAAAGAAAAGTTCCATAGCCACTAATTACATAGGATAGAACTAACCTTCTGAGCCACTCCTCGCTGTTCTCCTAAATAAATGGAATATTTCATAATTCAAACCACCACAAGCTTCTCTTATAGTGGCATCATGGAGCATCCTGTTCTTAACTTCTTTTGGTGGTAAGGCTATGGGTGTGTTCACTACATATTCATTAGAAAAGTGATGTCTCGTATGTGCCACATCACCCCCAGTACATGTTCACTAGCCTTGGAAATGGTTATCACTACACATTGTTTTTTTTTTTGTTGTTTTTTTTTGTTTTTTTATATTTAGATTAAAATTTAAAAAAAAAACCTAAATTAATAACATAATTAAATATTTCACATTACATAAAAACACATTACATAACTTAAATTACAAAAAAACATAAAACCATCAAATTTCAAACCTAAATTACTAAAAACCATAAAAACATAAAAAATTAAACCTAAATAACTAAAAAACCATAGAAATTAAACATAAATAATAAAAACGTTAAAACCTAATTTCCATACTTTTTCCGAACTTGTTGTTGGATTTTCAGAAACACGGCTAGATTTTCTGGGTCGATATCCGATTGCGGCTTCATGTTTAAAATTTGAAGATCGGTGAGTGCTTGTTTCCGGCGCCGAGTTTCCTCCATTGCTTCTTTTTTTTTTTTTTGTAAAAAACTTAGAGTTTTGTCGATTCTTTCCGCAAGTACGTCTTCGTTACTCGCTTTTCCGCTTAAAGACGCAACCTTTTTCCCTTTATCCATTCCCGGTGGTCGACGAAGTTGGACTTCCGGTGGACCCTCCCCTTCGGTCCCATCGAAGTCGTCATTGAGGCCGACACCAAAACCCACATCCGACTCGAAAGTTCTTGACCTTTTGTTGGAGCCGGTGGTCGATTCCGAATGCGAAGTCTCCGGGTTAAGGACCCATTTTGGACCCTTACGACAAATTTCTCACACTTTTTGGTGGCCGAACGTTTTACCGCCGTTGGTAACCTTGTATTGTTGGCAAGCGGTTGATAAAATATTGAAATCTTTGCTACCACTTTTATGCATATTTTTCAGATTTTCAAATATGCCGTGAAACTTGGTGCAAGCCACTCGTAGTTCACGCCATTTTCCATTGACCGCGTCATACGTTCGGCCCGTTTGTCTTCCCAAAAGCAAGTGAAAGTGATCTAAAACACGAAGCCAAAAATTGTTTCTCATTTGCGCATCGCCCGTCCTCGAGTCACACGATATAGAAATCCAATCTTTAGCTAAATCTTCCTCCTCTTCTTCGATCCAAGCCGTTCCTATTTTATTTGTAGCTTTTCCTTTTGCTTTCCTTCTCCTAGATGGTTGTGTTTCTTCGACCCGGTCGTCGTCGTCGTTGTCCAAATTTATAGGTGGGGATTGAGAAAAAGGGACTTGAGATTGTTGTGTTTGGAATTGTTGAGATGGTTGTGTTTGGAATTGTTGGGGTTGCAATTGTTGAAAACCTTGGAATTGGGGTTGATTGAATTGTTGTGGTCTTTGTTGTTGGAAGTAGTTTGGTTGAAATGGAATGTTGGTAAATAGAGGTTGTTGTTGGATTAAGGATGTTAGCATTTGAATGTAACCTTGATATTGATCATTTGAAGTGTTTGGGGTTGTTGGGGGTGTTTGGAGTGGTAGAGGTATTTTGATTTTGCTCCATACTTTTGAAAAAAAATGAGCAAGTAGAGAGATATGTGAAGGATCTTGTGGTGTGAAATGGTGTAAATTGTTTGGTATTTATATAAGTTTAAAAAGTTAATTTTTTTCTTTTTTTATTTCCAACGGCTCAAATATTGACCGTTTAAAACATTTGACATTGATTGGTCATAACAACGCATGAATGGCATCAATCCGCACCACGTTTACGGACAAGGGGGGGCGGTGTTCACGCGTAGGAACCCCCCGCCACGTCACCTTTATGCGTCAAAATACGTACCACACCCAATGGCCTAACTGCACATATATCACCAGTAATCATCGGATTAAACAATTCTTCAATTAAAATCAAGGTATGTTTTGAAGGTTATACTGCTTCTTTTTCTTCTCATTATCAGCATCCTGTTGTAAAAGAAGTATCATCTAGTTAGCCAACAATAGAGTAATGGAAATAAGAACATCAAAAGTAATTAGCAACGTTTGACAAAAAGTGTATCAATCACTTGTAAGTTTGTTAATAAATCTGAATAGATTGAATTCCTGAAACAAATTTTAGGCATCTTGATGAAAAAATTTACCTCATCCCAAGAGGAATTGTCCATTCGAAGATCCACGCCTAATGTAAACTTCAGTATCAGTAGGAATGTGTAATAACCAATCAAGAATTTGAAATTTACACAAATTAAGTGAAAAACCCATCAACTAAGATCTAAAAATAAGAAAAATATTAAAGTTTTTGTGATCCTCTGTCTTTTCCAGAGAGAAAACGTGTCCCTGTTTTTGTTGATCCAAACTTTGTTAGGATAAATCTCGTTCAGGCAGATAACTACAAAAACAAAAAAAAAACCAAAATGCTTATACAGATCAAAGATTTGAAAAAAAAACTAAATCGGAAAGAGAGAGGGTAAGTGGCGTGTTATTTGGAACAAAACGTGCACATCAAACCAAACAGTATCAGATGTGATCTTGCACAAAAACTCCATTTCGGGTTTGAAATAAAAGAGAAGCTAGGTAAAAAAAACTTTACCTGGAATCAAAGAGAATCTAGGTCAAATCTATTTGGTTTGCCCAATCAATGAGTTCCCCTCGACCTGCGCACCCAATAGCAAAAGAAAAACCATTTTTAGCTTTACTTGGTGTGTTCTTGGTCGGGAGATTGAAGAGGCTGACACCATAGAGAAAATCGATTCTAGGGAGCTTTGTGGTGGCCGATAACAGATGGTTGGGTGTAGAGAGAAATCCTAGGTGGTCTCCTAGCTATAAAATGTCAAGATCGAGGTGAGTTTTAGGGATTGAAATCTAGATAGAGAGTGAGTTTAGGGCGTGATGGCGGTGGTGCGAAGTTTTAAAAGAAAATTATTTAGATAACCATGAACAATAGCAAATACATGTATCTGAATTCGATTTTGAAGTCAGTCCATTAAGGTTCTTTGGCTGATTTCACCCTTTTGAAGCCGATTTCGCTCTTCTTAGCACCATCCTTCATGATATTCCAACAATTCTTTTGGTTCCCTGCACACACAAAGTGAAGAGGTTGGGATGAGTCATCGAGAAAGGGAAAAGAAAGAGCAGTGGCCGGTTCGTAGAGTGGGAGGATTTAGAGAGATAGATGGAGAATTTGATTCTTTCGAAGCGATTTTTTTGGGTACGTTTTAACTTGTACTTATTGTATTATTTTTTTGTATGATTTTATATAAAAGGGCTAGTTTAAAATTTAATATTATTTTATTAGTGATTATTTGTACTTTAAGCTTAGAGACTTGAACGTCTTAAAAATGTATTATTATTATATTGAATCTATTTATAGAAATAATGAGATTTCTTTTATAACATAGTATATATAAGTTTTATCACAATTTTCAAGATGTATTCGTGTCATGACGTGTCACTCACAGATTCGTGTATTCGTGTCTCGAATTGGCAGGTCTAGTATTCATGGTGGTGGTTGTTGTCACTGCTGAAACACATGGTAAAGGAGCAGGAGGTTGATGGTGGCTGTGTTGATAGAGCCAGAGAGAGAAGGCTCATTAAGAGTTGGTTTTGTTTGTTTTTCCTTCTGATTTTTGGTTAGTAGGAGTTTGTGGGGGTGGAAATAGGTGGACGATGGTGGTAGCAATGGACAACAGTAAGAGTATGTGGTGGTAGACTGTGGTCGGAGTACGAGCTGGTAGCGGCATACGTTGGTTGGAGTAGATGTTAATGGCGAAGGACGATGGTGTTCTTAAATGTTGAGAGATTGAGATGGAGAGAGGTACAGGGAGAAAAGTATTTTAGACATTTCATATATTCCTGCTAGTAATTAACGGTATTGACCTAACGATGTTAGTCATAAGGACCCGTGGTGTTACTACTTTTGTCAAAAGGGACCAATGAAGTACTAAGTTTTGTCGAAAGAGCCCATTAATGTAAAAAGGTTTCATAAGAATTGTTTTGGGGACAATTTTAAAAGCACAAGCATCATTTATGAAATTTTGTCTATTGTAATACTCTAAAAATATCATCATATAAACATAAAAATATCATCATATAAAACATATGATTTTAACATTTAACCATATCTCACCATAATAACAATTCAAACTTTATTAATTTCACCATAAAATACAAGAGAAAAACAAACACCGTCTGACATATAATGTACATACTTATAAAATTACAGGATATTAACATATTATCGTCTCATTCTTATACAAAAAAACATATAAATCTTATTCAAATATGGTTTTAATTTGATGGATATGACGGAAATCATATGCCATTACTAAAGTTCCATCCATTCTTTTGAGCACAAATCTTTCAACCAAAACATAACAACCAAATCTCTTCCATCCACCACTTCCTTCAAACTTCTCTTCTCTCGTAACCATATGTATCCTGTTCTCTCCACCATCAACCCATCCAACTTTTTCTTCTTCCCACCTCATTCTTTCAACAATTTCTCTTCTCAACCCTACACTTTCTTCTTTTTCATTATCACCCCCTCGACAGAAAAACCATAAGGTTCCATCTACCATGTCTTTCTCATCCCATATAGCCTCCTGCTGACTCTCACCAATGAAAACCGCTTCATTTTGAAATGAAGCTTTCAAAAACACATCATTTCCTTTGTCATTATGCTCGTTTTCCTGTTCGAAAACTCGTTCCCATTTTTGTTCCAATGTCATTTCATAAAAGATAGACATTTTCACCTGTTCGTTCAATCTTCCTTCTTTTATGAACATAAAAGGACAATACCACTTGCCAACGACCACTGAATTGGAAGTTTTGGTGGAGGGTGGGAAACTAAATTCAGGGAGGCGTGAACGAAGGGAATCATTGAGTCCATTTGCTTCACGTAACTCATAATTTTTAGGAGTTTTAGTGTAGATTTCCCAACCTTTTCTCCTTAAGAAATGTGGAGGGTATCCATCTTCAGCGACAGATTTGGCATTAAAGCTTCCATCACCTCTACAAGATGCTTTGTAAGGAACGATCTCAAACTGTTGGTACACATCATTTGGCTCCAATGGCCTTGGTTTTACATCACTAACACAATTACAGAAACAACATGGCGTCATGTCTTCCTCCTTGGAGCATGCAAAAGCTTCCCTGAAAAGCCTTAACGTTAGTTTATTCGACATCAATAGGACTTGTGTTTCTCTCATGCTTCTATTGTTCTTCTTGAGTATGCTTATTATTGTCTGTCCAAACTTTTTTTTAGATAAACGGCGTTGTACTTTTATAAATTTTTATGTTTTGATCCAATTTCTGATATTTTAACTTCCTGAAAGTTACATAATGATACGAAAACTTCATATTTTATACCTTTACCATTATTTATAGTTTCCTAACATTGTGTCAGTTACATAAACACCCTTAAGGTTTTATTCGATCATCATTATAAAATCATGTGTTAATAATATATATGTGTGAAATGACATTGATGGATTAAGAAGACAAAAAGAGTTAACAGGCAAGCAAATAGGAGAAATCAGAAAACACATGATACATATCTAAAGGATTACTTGAGGGAAAAAGTTACTTCACAAAACTAAGCAATGTATAGCATATACACATACCCTTTATGCGATCCACGTGGCTTTATTGCATAGTAACGGTTTGAAGACAATGGTTGATTAAGGACAGGAATAAAGACAACTTCATTGTAATAAACACGTCGATGTTCACCATTCCCTGAAGCGTAACGTGTGGTCAATCTTTTGTTCTGAGGAAAGGGTAACCCTGCAAGATACCTATTCTTGTAGAGCCCAAAGCATGAGTAAGTTTCAGACTCTTCATCTTGGATTACCAAGCAACCCGAGTTTGGACCCTCGGGAGGCTGATAAAGAGCTTCCGGAGAGCTCTTGTAATGAGAAAGAGATCGAGTCACATACATATCAAAACTTATGGTTTTAGTTTGTGGTTTTGAAAATAGGTTGTTGANNNNTTATCATATATATATATATATATATATATATATATATATATATATATATATATATATATATATTAGAGATTTGAGATTTAAATGATTATCTTGGAGAAGTTAAACAAGTAATTTGAATTTTCTTTTAATTATTCTATTTTGACCAAATCAACTACTGTTGACTTTTTTGTGGACATTAAAGATATTATCTGATACAGATCGAGGTTTTGGATGTTTAATATATTATGTTGGAAACTTCGTTGCATCCGTGTATGATTAGAGATGAAGATCCTAGGTAGCTTCACGGAAAGTGTTGGTATTTTAAATTGGAATGTTAACAAGCTAGTTAAGTGATATTGTCATTTTTAATAAAGACAAAACTTCAAAAATGGTCCATGTGGTTTTCGAAAATCTGAAGTTTAGTCCTTCATTTTTAAAAACTTCACAGATGGTCCATGTGGTTTCAAAACTTTTGACAAATGGTCCTTTTCGCTAACTCCGTTAGCTTTTGACCGTTAACTGAAGGGCATTCTGTCATTTCACTATCACAGGACCATTTATGAAGTTTTGCCTTACTTAAAAAAAAAGAAAAAAGTATAATTATTTAATATTAAAGTCTCTCTCTCTCTCTCTCTCTCTCTCTCTCTCTCTCTCT